AGACACATTCTCTCTCTCTCTCTCTCTCTCACACACACACACACACAGACACATTCCCTCTCTCTCTCTCTCTCACACACACACAGACACATTCTCTCTCTCTCTCTCAAACACACACACACACACAAGGAGAGAGAGACAGACAGATAGACAGACACACACACACACACACTCACACACAGAGAGAGACACACTCTCTCTCTCTCTCTCTCTCTCTCTCTCTCTCTCTCTCACTCACACACACACACACACAGACACATTCCCTCCCCTCTCTCACACACACACAGACACATTCTCTCTCTCTCTCTCAAACACACACACAAGGAGAGAGAGAGAGACAGACAGACAGACACACACACACACTCACACACACAGAGACACATTTTCTTTCTCTCTCCCTCTCTCTCCCTCTCTCTCTCTCTCACTCTCACTCTCTCTCTCTCCCTCTCTCTCTCTCACACACACACAAAACCAAAAAAAAAAAAAATCTCTATCTGTCCCCCCTATCTAGGCTATCCTGAACAGTGGCACTTGGCAACATTGCTAAGGCTGAGCCTGAAGTAGAGGCCCCAGGTTTTCACTTCAGCCCTAGTTTTATTCATCTTCTTTTAATGACCCCCATAATCCCTTGCGAGATTATGAAGTCTGGGCAGCTGAATGGAGCTGAGTGTTTACTGGCTGGATGCCCTTCCTGTCGCCAATGTGGAGTTTTTTTCAGCAGATACATTCTCATGAGCTGCACCTGTAGGCAACTGCACCACTTCAGCCCTACCATTATTGCTGCCACTATAAAGGCTGCCTTACACCATCCTCACTGGCTCAAGGTTGACTCATCCTTCCATCCTTCTGAGGTCGATAAAATGAGGACCCAGATTTTTGGGAGAAATATGCTTTGTAAACCAATTAGAGAGGGCTGTATCAAGAGTTTCCTATTTCCTTTTATTGAGTTGTTTTATTAGTTTAGCATACAGACCTGAGAGCCTCCCATTCAATTTAGACACAGTTTAAGTGTTAAGCTTCTTCATACTAATGACACAGGGATTCTTCTCTAGCTATGCCATGTTGAACATCTGGAAAACTTCAGATCAAGAGCCTTGGCAGCTAGATTTTTTCTCCCAGATTGTTGGGAGCCATATGCTGACTCTATAAACTGCTCAGAGAGTGCTGTAAAGCACTACAAAGCGGTATATAAGTCTAAGTGCTATTGCTATTCCCCAAAGTATGCGAGCCTGTTCCTTGCTTACTTCTTTAGTCTGAACTATTGTTTTGCTCAATATTGCTGAAACTCTTAGATGAGAATCATGAAATCAAATCTTACTGTGTAATTGTTTCCTGGGTTGTCTGTAGGTTGCTACCTCAACCCTGTTTTTACTGGAATATGTCCTTTCTAAATTGTGTAAGCATATCTAGCACCGTTCCCTAGCAAGTACAAGGAAATGACGCTACAGGATTTAACAGACTGCTGCCTTTATGACAATTTACAGACTCCTGCCTCTCCACAATAGCTGATACATATTATGGACGAGTAGCCTGATCAATTCATCAATCAGAATAGAACTGGAAGAGACCTTGGGGTCTTCTAGTCTGGGGTGTCAAACTGGCAGCCCACGGGCCGGATGCATCATGCATAGGTCACACCCACCATAGCTCTGTGAAGGGGAAATGTTGCAAAATGTCACATGACGGCAACGTGATGCGGCGAGTTTCACACCTCTATTCCTGTCCAACCCCCTGTTCAAGCAGGAGACCCTGGGCTATATCATTTCAGATAGGTGGCTGTCCAGGCATTTCTTAAAAACCTCCAGTGATGAAGTACCCACAACTTCTGAAGGCAAGCTGTTCCACTGGTTATTTACCTCACTTTTAGGAAGTTTCTCCTTAATTCCAGGTTGCTTCTCTCCTTGATTTAGTTTCCATCCATTATTTCTTCTCTTGCCTTCTTGCTTTGGAAAATAAGTTGAGCCCCTTTTCGTTGTGGCAACCCCTTCAATACTGGAATTATGCTATCATGTCACCCTCTAGCCATTCTTTTCTCTAGAATGGCCATACCCAATTCCTGGAACCGTTTTTATATGTTTTGATCATGGATGCCTATTCATGACAACCTGTGATATCTTTGGTGCTGTAACATACCCTGTTTCTCTGAAAATACAACCTGCCCCGAAAGTAAGTCCTAGCTTGATTTTTACATGTGTGCCCTACCCCCCAAAATAAGCCCTAATTAAGACCTCACCCACTCCAGAGTGCACAGGTAAAAATTAAGCTAAGGTGGGGATGAGGGGTAGATCTACCCTATTACTTACCTTTGAACAGTTGTAGTCAGGCCTCTCATACCTGACGCCTGCCTTGCCAGCCCATTTCTTCTGCAGCTGGCAAGGCTGGCAAGGCTTTCTTTTTTCCCCCCCCAAAGTGTTTTTATTTTTTTACACATCTCTTCATGTGAGCAGCGTGATTCCAGATTACAATATTTATACATAGTCATAGTTACACTTTCAACTTTCTTAATTAATATCACTTAGGCTGGCAAGGCTTTCCTGAAGGCCTCTGTATCTGATAACAAAGCTCCAGATCGATTTGGAGCTCTGTTATCGGCTGCAGAGGCCTTCAGGAAAGCCGTGCCGGCTGCAGAGAAGTTCCTGAAAGCCTCTGACAGCGAAAAGGAGGCTGGGGGCGACGTGCACAAGTGAGGTTACTCAGTGGATGATATCCCCCGAAAATAAGACCTGGTGCCTTGTTTTCTGTCACACAAAAAAAAGACAGGGTCTTATTTCGGGGAAGCACGGTGTTAACATGTTACATGTTACATATTTCACAAGAAGAGTTCTCCACTCTTCTACTCGTTGTAGAATACCTTATGCCACCAGACTTGAAATTCTAGAACTAGAAAACCTTGAATTACGCCGTTTTCGGTCTGACTTAAGCATGGTATATAAAATCATACATTGCAATGTCCTACCTGTCAATGAATACTTCAGCTTCAACCATAACAACACAAGAGCACACAATAGATACAAACTCAAAGTAAACCGCACCAAACTTGATTGCAGGAAATATGACTTCAGCAATAGAGTGGTCAATGTCTGGAATACTCTACCCGACTCTGTAGTTTCTTCCCCAAACCCCAAAAACTTTAACCTTAGACTGTCTACTATTGACCTCACCCCTTTCCTAAGAGGTCTGTAGGGGGCGTGCATAAGCGCACCAACGTGCCTACCGTCCCTGTCCTATTGTTTCTCTTATTCTTTTATTTTTCTTATATGTACCCATTTCATGTATTCACAACTATGTATACACTTATACTTATTATCTTGTAAACAATTGGCAAATCAAATAAATAAAATAAATAAATAAATAAATAAACATTTCAGCTAATTTTGGACAAGCTTCTTAAAGTTGTATATTTTGATTTTAGAGTTTGAACACTTTACTTACAAAATCTGTTTGGATCTAAATCTTCAAGGTTCTTTTTTAAAAAAAAGATATTCTGCCATCTAGTGCCCATATCCTTTCAGTGCACTGTGACAGAGCTCCTTTTATCTTTAAGTAGCCTTCTCCAGCCTATATTATGGATGGAGATGACACAGGTACAGTTCATGTATCTGGAAGGGACAAAGTTAGAGAAGACGGTCATATACTAAGGAGCCATGCAAGCCTCAGGGCTCTTTTCTTAAGATGTGCTTAGACCTCTATTTAGCTTTTATCCGGGTATTTTTTGTATGTTAGCACATTTATGTTTAGTTCCAAAAGGATGAACATTGAGGAACTTGAAACGTGCCAGTCCACAACTGGACATGCATATCTGAATTCAGAGTCTTTGGTACACATTCTTTAAGTTAAGAATGGGAAAACTTTTAATCTCCTAAAGATTTCCTGAAATATACTGTAGTAAGAGATGGATTTTACTTAACTTTAGAACAAAGATGTTTCACAATGATGCTTTTCACACAATTCCAGAGTTGCTCACTAAACTACAAAACCCACCACCCACCCACCATGGAATGTGAAGTACAGTATAACAAGATTATTGAGCCAAATCACCACCTGCCAATCTTTCACTGTGTTGTTTATTTCTGATTCCAAATTTTAAGTAAACACTAAACTAAATCTTCGTTTAACCTTCTAAGCTACAGTTTAGTAGTCCCTAATAAGCTATTTCCAGGCTTAAGTGGTATCTAGGGCAGTAGCCCCTGGTTAGTCCCTCTATGCCAGCCTTTCTGCTCTGACTGTATTTGATGACAGTGGTTTCCATTTTAGGTTTCCATAGTAACCCAAAGCAATATAGTTAAGTGAAATAGAAATAAATCAATGCCACAATTATTAGCCCTTGCTTGAGTTCTGACCTCCCCAGTTGTCCTATGTTACTACCTGGTGAACGTCAACTTCATACTTTGATTGCTAAATCCTGTTCCAACTTAACTTGCTTGGAAAAGTCCCACATAGGATCATCTTTCATCACTTGATGCTTTCAACTCTGGTTAGATCTGATAGATGTGCAAACTCACCCATCAAGAAGAGGTCAGGCTGGAGAAAACTCTTGTAGGTGACGTAGCTATCCATGCTCTCGTTCCTTTGGCCCAGCATTCATCTAAGAATGCCAATGAGAGCCAAATCAAAGAAACTTTTGTTTAGCAGCTAAAGGAAACATATAAATAAATGGCTAGTGGTAACATATTATTATTTTTTTGAACTCTTTCATTAGGACCCTGCCACTCCACTGTCTTCTAGAAAGGACTCCAGAACATTTCCTTTCATGGAATGGTGCCCAGAAAAGGTGCAGCAACTTTACGATATCCCATCAAACCCTGAAAAGCCAAGATCTTGCCCATGGCAAGACTCTGCAGTGGAAGATGTAAGTTTGATCATATTTAAATAAACATGTTGTTCTGAGTCATAGAGATATGTAAAGCTCTGTTAATTGTTAAAGTGGCATATTGTGGCATCTATGGGGAACTTAGATCTATATAGTAAATGTAGCTCTTCAAATTCTGAAGGGGTAGAGTTTGGAGTAGGGGCAAGAAGTTAAAATCTGAATTGCAAAACTCTGGGGTGTAAGCTTAGATTTATATCAAGCCTGGGAAATCCAAACATTTCCTAGTGCCCGTTGATCACAGCATCAACTGTGGTTGTAGAAGTGAAGTGTAACATCAATAACACAAAAGATAAAAAAACAGTTTTTCTCAAAACAAAACTTGAAGTCTCCTCTCATCTTAAAGACAAGCAAACACATTATGGCATATGGACTTTCTTTGGACTTTGGGCTCTTCCAGGAAGTGATGCAGATTTGATTAACTTAACTCCGCACTGATCATATAAACACACAACTCAGTGTTTAACATCCTACAATTCTCTTCCCTATGAAATCTTCAACAAGGAATGTTTGTTTCCTGCAAGAGTGAAAATCTTAAATTCTATTGAGATTTGTGATGCCATCTAAGGGAATACTTGAACAAGCAATCTAACCCTGTAATGCCTGAGTAACAAAAAGCAACCATTCCAGAATAGGGCAATCTGAATGCAATGGAGTAATGTTTTCATGCTATGTAGAAACAATCCACCGTAGTTACTTTTTAGGATGGGTATGTTTAGGTGCAAAACTGAGAGGTCAAGAGCAGGAAGCATTTACTTGCCAATAACTCAGCAATGATTGGTTGGCACTTCTCTATTCTTAGCTGTTGACCAGGAACTACAAGATATACCTATTAGTTCTCCGTAAGCAGGATGGACCTGGAAGAAGTCAAAATCCTGACCATACTTTTAAGTGAAATAATGGGATATAGGTTACAGAAACTTTGGCAGTCAAGAATTCTCTCTTGAGTTCAAATCTATCACGTAGAGGTTGGTACAGGGAGATCCTCCACACAATGAACAAAGAGGGAGAACACTACTACTAATTGCTCCAATTTAGGATTACAGGAACTCCTCGACTTACAATTCATTTAGTGACCATTTGAAGTTACAACAGCATTGAAAAAAGTGGTGTATGACTATTTTTTACACTTAGGACCATTGCATTATCTGTATGTCACGTGATCAAAATTCAGTCACTTGGGCACTGTCTCGTATTTCTGATGGTTGCAGTATCCCAGAGTCATGTAATCAACTTTTGCGACCTTCTAATGAGCGAAGTCAATGGGGAAGCCAGATTCCCTTAACAATTGTGTTACTAACTTAAAAACTGCAGTGGTTCTCTTAACAACCGGGCAAGAGATGTCATAAAATGGGGCAAATTCACTTAACAAATGGCTTACTTAGCAACATAAATTTGGGATTCAATTGTGGCCATAAGTCGAGGGCTATCTATACTTGAGGTATTATACATTTCTTATGTGTCGGTTTATTATTAGTGTGCCATTTTTTTATTCTACTATATATGTGAATATAAATATTAGAGAAGAAGAGAACAAAAACGAAGTAGTAATAGTAATCTATTGTTCTTTGTTCACCTCTCCAGGTATATGTCATCCCAACACCGTCAACTAAACCCATTGCTAATTCTGCAGAAAAGCATTATAAAACGTTACCAAATCTTTGGAAATCAGAATGGATCTACGATGTACCTGTGGCACAAGACAAAGCCAAATTAATACAAACTTCTCAGAATCATGCCCCACAGAGTCATGCACTTTATGATATACCACAAAGCAGGTTCAATTCTGATACCCCAAAAATATCTGCAATAAATAATAAAGGGAAATCAGTAGATCCAAAATCATATAATATTCCACCTATACATAGGAAATTAACTTGCCCGGAGCTTCCTCTTTATGACGTACCATCCACCCGCGATACGTTTGTGCACCGTCCAGCAAGCAACTATGATGTTCCTTCCAATGTTTTGTCTACCAAGATTGAAAAGGAGAGCCAGAAATTGACTCATTATGACATTCCAAAAGGAATACCTGTTGCTTTGGCACAACAGAAAGAGCATAATTATAATATGGGAGAGAACCCATACATTATCCCTCTGCCATCATCCACAGAATGCAATGTGGACCAAGATAGACTGTCTGTTTCAAGTGAAAATAGCAGGACCAGCACCATATCCACACTGTCAAGTTCTTCTACTGAGTCCTTTTCATCTTCAATTTCATCAACATTTTCAGAAGAACTCATAAAAGAGACAACTATGGAGCTTGAGTTGGCTATAGACACCCTGACTAAACTGCAGCACGGCGTATCCAGTTCCGTTGCAAGTCTAATGATTTTTGTGAGCAGTAAGTGGCGATACCCAGAATATTTAGAAGGAAACATTGAGGAAATCCACCGAGCAATCGATCACATAAAGGTCTCTTTGGGAGAGTTTTTGAAATTTGCTCAAACAATCGAAAGAAATGCAGTTTTGGGATCCGACAGTAAACTTCAGGCAAGAATTAAAAAACAGCTGAATGTTCTCTCAGATTCCTTTCAGATTCTGGTACAAACCAGAGACGCCTTAAACAAATGCAAGTGGTCACTTGAGATTCTAGCTATTAAGAAACCTCAGAATAACCCAGATGATCTGGATCAGTTTGTTATGGTGGCTCGTACCATTCCTGATGACATTAAGAGATTTTCATCTATTATTATAGCTAACGGGAAGCTACTTTTCAAAAAGAGCTGCAAAGATAAAAATAGCAAGGATTCTAAAGCTGGTGTAGAGCTTAAAATGAAGAAATTTGGTCATGAAAAGCAAGGAGAAAATAATTCTGTTCTAATAAGTAGTTTGGACAAAGCAAAAGAAAATGGTCTCTATTCAACAGAGACAAGTATTTCTGTTCCTGAAGAGTGCTCTACTCATCTACAGGTTGGTGTGGTTGGAATTACTATACAAATAACAATATTTTAATGTAATTAATATGTGGTCGAGACCCAGTTTGGTATAGAGGTTAAGGCACTAGACTAGAAGCTGAGAGATCATGAGTTCTAGTCCTGCCTTAGGCAGAAAGCCAGCTGGGTGACCTTGGGCCAATCACTTTCTCGACCCCAGGAAGGAGGTAATAGTAGGCCACTTCTGAAAACCTTGCCAAGAAAACTGCAAGGACTTGTCCAGGCATTTGGCAGGAGTCAGCATTAACTTGAAGGTACAAAAAATGTGGCTGAATCCATACACTTGCAATGGCTAGGGATGGAGTAATGCAATAGGTAATGGTAATGGGACCTGGTTAAGTGCCTAGGACAATTACAGATTGCTTATCTGCCTGCAGCCCTTCTGTGTATTCTGAGACTATGAAAGTACTCAGTTTGAGCATGGCCACACCAATAGCTTGGAAGGCCAATAAGTTGTTCAGGAAAATTTATTGTATAGCTGAGCTTTACAGTTGATTTTTAGCAGTGTTTCTTCAGCTGCAGTAGTACGTGGTGTCAACTGTCCAATTAATGAACCCAAAATAAGGAAACACTCTTGGGAGCTTTGCATTCCCAAAAGTAAAACTTTATTGGATACACCAAATTGGTACTGAAGAAACAAAACCAGCTCTGGTTTTTCCTGTGCAAATGTTTGCCTAGTTAAAGACATTCTCCCTAGCCCTGGGTGATCATGTTGTCCAATTATGAGACGTCCATTTGTTATGGGAACAGTCCATCTTTTTCTCCAACACTTGCAGTGGTGACCTTGATGGTTTCCATGCTCTCATGAGCTCTGCATACATTCTCGGCATTTCATTTCCCCCTTCCCTCCCACCAGTTCATTGCCAAGCTGAAAAGCATTAAGATTTGATAGAAGCAAAGCAGTTCTATCTTGACATGTGGATTGTTTATGGATTCAACTCAACATGTTGATTTTGGCTCTTCTAAAGCATTGCCAAAGACCATGCAAGTACACCAACAGTTGCACAAATACCAGTGTCTAGATCAGGGGTGGAATGCTACCGGTTCTGCCCGGCTCTGTAGAATTGGTAGCTCTGAAGAGCAGCCGACACTGAACCAGTTCTGTGTCTGCTGCTGTTTGGCCCACCCACCTGTCCGGGCTCTTACCTGACCTTTATTTCCTGCTTTTTCAACCTCAGCTGCTTTGCGTGGCACAGCTGAGGCTGAAAAATCAGTACAAAAGGCTTTTTTCAAATGCTGCGCACCCGCGCACAACACTTATCAGCTGTCCAGGAGGCAGTTTTTGTTGTATTATTACACGCAAAACCTAAGTACCGAACCGGTAGTAACACCAGTTGAATCCCACCCCTGCTCTAGATGTCCTACTGGGAACATAATCTCAGAGAAGCAATAGACTTGATGACTAAGATGAATGTTGCCTTTGCTACTTGAGGTGTCCTGAAAACAAATTGGAGTGGGACCCAGAGTAGCATGGATAGCTTCTCTTCTTTTCCACCCCACCATCTGCCAGAGTTCCAAGGCCCCTTTGGGAATGGAAAAGCCAATCTGCAGGGGACGGTGGAGGGTGATGAAGCTGAGTAGTTGGGAAACCCAGCCAAAGAAATTGCATAAATTTTCTTAGGGTCACTTCCTTGTTGACAGAGAATTTCGTCACTCTTAAATGCACAGAAAATATCAGGGTTTCCCCCCTAAAAACTGTTGAGGTTCTTGAAAACAAACCATAGTAATTAAAAATTTACCTGACTAATCTTAGGAAAGGAAGTGGGCAGCGTTTCCAATGTTTTGGATCATAACCCATAATCTTTATCTGTTTAAGGATGACCAACCTTTCATTTTTTTGAGTATTAAAGCTGTCTTCCCTTTTGCAGAAACCATTAGAAATTGAACAAACACAGCCAATGTCCAAGACAAAGACAAATGAAGAATTTAAATTAAAGGTAACATATATTGTAACAGTGAAATTATTAGTATTTAATCATTACCTAGAATTTGGAAATTAGATTTTTGTTTCAAAAAGACGTATTAGCTACCTGCCAGTGGACATGTTTATTTGTATTCCTAATTGTTCATTGAGCTCACTGGTACTTACTTTTGAATAGGCACTGTACAGGATTACAGCCTGTCATTTGGCCCTCATTGATTTGGGAAAAGAATGGTAAAAAAACTTTGAAAATCCTTTAAACCCACCACAGTCATCTGGAACGACTAATTGCTTTATGCACTCAGCCTATAGTGTGATAACTATCTGAATTCAACCACATAGAGGCTGCTTCGTGTAGCATTTGTCATGCTGCTGTTTGTTTTTGAATAGTATAGAATGCAATATTGTACATCAATGTGTTCTGATAATATATTCTATGTCACCCATGCTCAAACCAGCATTCTCACTGGGTTAAGGCCAGTAACAGCTGAGTTAAACGGCAACAGAATTTTAGCCACCTATACTGGAGTGTCCTACTTAGGAGAGTATGACCAAAGCAACACAGGATCTCTGATTCTACATTGCTGGTTGAATTTAGCAACTGAACCAACTTATTTTCACTCAGCTGTGGTGTAACCCTAATGGCAAAACACTGGTAGTCTGTAAGTGAAGCTCTATAAACCTTGTAAGTGATCCATAGTGGAGGCCATTTTCACTTCTATCCCTTCTTGGAATTCCTGAGCTCCAGTAAATCTCTTTATGCATCTCTTTAATGGAAAAACTTGGACGTATCCAAACAAAAATTTGGCAGTTTTGTCCATTTCCCCCTTCCTATTTGCAAGATCAGTCAGGCTTTCCAGTTTTTTCCTCTCCCTTTTGAGTGGCATGGGAGACTGCATAGGGAAGATTGCTTCAGCAGAGCTGAATTGGAGCCAGTGTAGAAATACCCTTACAAGGGATTCCAGTTCAGAAGTCTACATGTTGTAAACAAGGTTATCACACATACAAAACTTCATCCACAGTTTCTCTCTGGCTTCTGGTAGCTAAAAATAAAGATTTCCACCAAATTCTTTTTTATTGAGATTTATTGAGAAAGGGATACCATTACAGAAATTCCAACAACTGGATTACTTTAATGTTAGAACTTAAATTTCTCTTTCATCTTGCTAGTGCAGAGTCTTCTTCAGTTTCTTTCACTCACAACTTCACTGTATCAGCAGGCTGCTGGCCCATTTCCCAGACAACTTAAGAACACACAGGCACCTTTCCCAGCCATCTCTTGAATCCTTATCAGCCTGGGAACAGATCATTACAAACATAGCAAAATTATAGTTACAGATGGTGAGAAAAGTCCCTGGCTGTAAAACTGATTTTATTAAGCTCTCAATGGGATTCTGCAATTAGAGGAAGCACAGAAAGGGAATCAGATAGCTTCATTCCGTTACAGATAGAGCTTTATTTTTACTTTTGCAAACGTTAAATAACCGTGCATTACAAGTGATAGAAATATGCCTATTGAAGGGTTCTATCAGATGGTGTCATTCTCTTTTTGGATGGCAAAGAAATGAGGGAAATTTGGGCTGCTTTGAGATCTGCAGTGCCTTGTGTTCTTATCTCAATAATCCCAACATTCTGAGGTCTGCAAGAAATCAATCAGATGTGCTTTACATGGTTTAAGGAAAGACTGTGGAAATAATCTTTATGTTAAAACACACATTATGCACGCAGAAGCTTCTATGTTCCATCAACAGAGACTTAATAAAAACTTAAGTATGGGAAGCCACCCTCCCTTAGAAGAATGAAATAGTTTGAGGAATATTATATTTCCCAAAGGGAGAAATGGAGATACATGTTTTTAGAGGCAGAAAGCAAACCCCACTTTCCTTAATAGCCCACAGCAGATATCAGCACTTAAGAGATAAAGAACTTATTGAAAGAAGACCAGTATCTAGATAGCTCTATAAATAAGCAAATACCCTCACCCAAGAGCCAAAACAGGACAAAAGCCATTAAGCCACAATAGGAATTACCCAACACCCTTTCAGAACACAAGCCCCTTCATTGCATCACCCTCAGAGCAGTCCAAACTTCAACCAAACTTAGCTCAAATACCTAGGATTTGTATACAGCAGGGATGTTAACTCAGGTTTCCACAGCGGCATCACGTGATGTATCAGGACTTTTTTCCCCTTTGCTAAACTGGGCATGGGCATGACATATCTGGCCCATGGGGCGTGAGTTTGACAGCCCTGCTTTAGAGTCAGCTATGACCCCTACATAACCCCTACATGGCCCCTTGGGAATCTGATGACAGCCAATAGAATACATATTCTTGCACAGGAACAGGAAGCTCAAGTGCAAAGCCCAAAAGAAGATATAAAAGCTACCCACTTTCAACTCCATTTTGTCAGCTGCCCAGAAGCACAAACCAATGTGGTTGTGCTTCATCAATAAATGGACACTCTTTCCAATCAGCCTCCGGCCTCCATTTTGTCTCCAGTGCCTTTCTCCTGGCTTGGAACTGGACCTGAATTTTCTTCCCACACAAGCAAGGGATAGTTCCTTGACATTTTGGAGAGCTGCTGCCAACACACTGGACTAGTTGGACAAAGAGCCTTATCACTAAGGCATTTTTCTACCTTCTTAATTGCAGCATTTCCATGTACTTTATATTTCTGATGAGAGGAAGCATTTTAAACAGCCTTTCTCATCTTGATGCCCTTATACTAGACTAAAAGATCTTCCCACAGCCAGCACAACCACTGAAAGGATTTCCAGAAAAAAGCTACACAACATTTATAGTAGGAACTCTCATTTTTTCTTGTTTTCATTCTCTCTGTAGAGTTCTCCACCTACAATGAAAGAAAGGACTCTCAGCAAACAAGATCCAGATAACAGAATGATACTCTCCAGCCTCTCCAGACTGTATTTTGGAGCTGTCCAGAAAGCTATTGGCGTTTTCCACAAAACCCTTAGTGATAATCGGACTCCTGAAATCTTCATCACCAAGAGCAAGCTAATCATTATGATAGGTCAAAAGTTGGTGGACACCTTGTGTCAGGAAGCCCTTGAAAAGACCAACCGGAATGATGTCTTGCGAGGCAGCAGTACATTTTGTGGCTTGCTGAAAAACCTGGCAATTGCAACCAAAAATGCCGCAATGAAATATCCAAATCCTGAGGCAGTTAAAGAACTTCAGGATCAAGCCGATGAATTATCTCAATTCACACAGCAATTTCGAGATACGATGGAATGAAGGAGCACTGAAACAATTCAAAAGACAAATTTAGACGTAATGCTTGGATGGGATAAAGTATATCCATGTTGGGGGTGGTGGTGGTGTAGGGATACATGCCAACTCTCCTCTCTGTTTCTCTTAATACAACTCCAGCCAATGTCCAGCGAGAGGCATGCAAAAGTGTCTTCTCTCAATATTTAAACATGATTAAATTTTCCCCATTGTCGAGAATCCTGATATAAAGATTTTCTGAGCAGAAGCTTCTCTTTGTACCAACTTGACATTTATCCTCAACAATCATACAGACATCAGTCTTGAACACAGGTAGCTTGGGGTCAAGGTTCAGTTTATACAATTCCATTTAAATTGTGTATTCTGTTGAGGCATACTGTGTCGGATTTTTAGACATGTTAGGATTTTTATTATTACAAAGCATGTGTGTCTGTCTGCTTGAAGATAACTGTACTGTAGCATTCTACGCCATAGAGATGTGGTGAGTATATATACGTTTAATAAAAACCTGACAGTAAATTGATATGACAAGATTAGGGCTATTCAGAGGGCTTGTTATGAACTGTTCCAATAGTGCTCAGGCTACTAGCCATTCTTGCAACCATTCACTTGGTAGGACAAACTCTGATGGACTCTTTAAGATGGTGCAAATGCTACCATGATTAACCATGGTTTCAGGTGTAATGGTATGAATTATTTATCCAGCAAAAAGCATGGTAAAGAATAGAAATTATTCAACAGTCTTGACTGATTGGTCTCAGCTCTATTATTTATTTTAATTTCTCTTCCTTTTCATTTCCTTCTTGAGATAATTACTCTTTTTAAAGAATTACACTATCTTCATATCAACAAACATGCATTTTACTTACAGTTCAAACTGGAACTATTTCACAAACAGTTCACAAATAGGAGAAAAGACATCATTCTGTGTGATCACACAATGAGAGATTTAAAAAAAGGAAAAGTAACAGACAACAAGTAAAAGGGAATCTTCCAGACTCTTACAACCAACAAGGGACTGCCTCATGTGTAGTGAGTCTGTGCGTATGTATACATGTAAAAATAAGGTACTAGATACAATTAATCATTCCTTGTGCATGTAAGGTTGCTTAGCCCAAGATCAGAATCATTATCATGATTAGCCCCTTCTCATTATGGTGTCCAACTTCAGGAATGAGATACAGATCAGATATACTTAAAAAAAATCAGAGATGAGGTGAAGCATACAAGGGACAAGTATATATTCTATTATATATTCAGTCCTAATAACAAAAACAATTTCTTGGAAATGGTTAAACACATAATTGTAAAAAATATTCCATCACAGAATATTCTGAGTATGAAATGTCTATTCCTTTTTTTTAAAATAAATTCTATTGATTTTACAATTAAAACAAACCAACAATACATACATAAATGAAAGAGAGAAAAAGAAGAAAGGGAGAAGAAAATAGAAAGAAAACAGAAAGACCTATTTTATCAGGTTACTGAATTAACCTACTTTCTGGCTTTATATAATACACTGAATCACAAATAAAGTGGCCTATGCTGAATAAACTAACATACAAGAAATATTACCAAGGTTACACTAACAGAACTTACTGTTATATGACTGTGTCCGTTGTCATGACCTGCCCTTATGCAAACACATTGTGTAAATATAAACACAAAGTATTAAAGATGCATCTTTTGTTGTGCAACAACAGTCTCAATTCAAAAATGCCAGGGAATTCTAGGAAGCTTGGTATGCAGACAAAGTAGTCTCAATAGAGATAAGCACATTTACATACTATTCAAATGGGTAAATAAAACAAAACATAGAATCAAAAAGACTAGAACACATTCCCATATTCAGCTAAGCAAGGATGAACACCACACAAACAACGAAAGAATCATCTAATATCCTAATCAAGGAACCACCAAAGAGAAAACCAATAAAGAAGAATATTTGTAGCTCAGGGTTGAAATGAGAGGTTCTTGGTGCTCTGAGCTTGCTTGTTTTCTTGAAGGCATTTTATTATCCTAACTAGGTAACATCATCATACAGTAAGGAGTGCTGTTTGCTGTCAATTTATAATATATTCTGGTGTCTTGCCTGTCTGGGTGGGTGAGGTTTAGAGATTCTTTGGTTGGGCTGTATACTAATGGCTTTTTTGCAGTTTCTACAGATACAGATAATCAGAGTTGGAAGGGACCTTGGAAGTCATCTAGTCCAACCCCCCGCCTAAGCGGGAGACCCTACACCATTTCTGACAAATGGCAGTCCAATCTCTTCTCGAAAGTCTCAACTGATGGCGCTCCCAAAACTTCGGAGGGCCAGCTGTTCCATTGGTTGATTGTTCTCACTGTCAGAAAGTTTCTCCTTGTTTCCAGGTTAAATCTCTCCTTGTTCAGTTTCCATCCATTATTCCTTGTCTGGCCTACAGGAGCTTTAGAAAATAGCTTGACCCCTTCCTCCCTGTGGCAGCCCCTCAAATATTGGAAGACTTGATTGGGGTATAAAGAAAACCATGCTCCCACCAACATTGGCAAGGCAAACTAGGTATATGTCTAAGTGCTACTGCTATATAAACAAGGACAAAACCCACTTTCATTGGTACTGATGATGTTGCCTAGTTGGGGAATAAAAACATCTTTAAGAAAACAACCAAGCTCAGCACCAAGAACTCCAAACCCTGAGCGCCAGAAATCAAATATTTTGTTATTTGTGAAGTTTGACTTTACAGATCATAGAAATGTACACAGAAGTTTAAATTCATCAAGCAATTCCCATCTTACCACCAGATCCCCCTTATTTTATTCCTCCACTGTGAATCCCACCTGAAGGCAGAACAAGAAGCAACAGATGGAAGCTAATCAAGGAGAGAACTAACCTAGAAAAAAAGAGAAATTTCATGACAGTTAGAACAATTGATCAGTGGGACAGCTTGCCTTCAAAAGTTAGAGGTGTTCCAACAATGGAGATTTGAAAGAAAAATTGGACAGCCATTTGTCACTGGAAGCTTTCAAGAAGAGACTGGACTGCCATTTGTCAGAAATCGTAGAGTCTCCTGCTTGGGCGGGGTTGGACTAGATGACCTTCAAGGTCCCTTCCAACTCTGTTATTCGGTGAAATCTGCCCAGTAACTTGTGGCTGGGATCAGAATCTTAGTTTCACATCATTGCCCCCACCCCCCACCCCCATACTGACTCAGTCACAAAACCTAGTTAGTCAATTCGCACCAAATGCTGATTCCTGAACTCCACCTACCGGCTGAGCGAGCGGAGGGCTATAGGGCAGCGTTTCTCAATCTTGGCCACTTGAAGATGTTTGGACTACAACTCCCAGAATTCCGCAGCCAGGCTTGAAGCCTCTTCCAGCGGTCAAGGTTGAGAAACGCCGCCCTAGAGGTAACGTGCAGTTGCCGAATTCGAGTCTCAGTCACTACCGCGAATACATCGCTAAGGAGACACTTCCGCCTTGGGAAGCCGCTTCGTACTAGGTTACCCGAATGACATCACTATATACGTCATCAAACCTTGCCCTCTATTTCGCCGGTCTGCGCCGGAAGTGCTCGTGTCACCTGACCGGAAAAGTCTTTTCTGCCTGGCAACCCGGAACTTCCAGAAAGCCAGTTGGAGGCGAAATGGGTTGCGATGGAGGAACCATCCCAAAACGGCACGAACTGGTGAAGGGCCCTCGTAAGGTGGAGAAGGTGAGGCCGGGGTCAGAAAGGGGAGTTCCGGCTGGTGTATTCCGTTCTGGAACAGGGAAATGGTGGCCCACCTAGATCCACTACCTGCGTTTTGGGTCCTTTTTGCAAGAACAAGTAGTCCTACAACAGTTCATTTAGTGACCGTTATGATGTTACAGCGGCAGTGAAAAATGTGACTTATGACCGTTTTTCACAGGGACGTTTAGCAGTTTCCCCATGATCATGGGATTAAAATTCAGGAGCTTGGCAACTGATTGATATTTATGACCGTTGCTGTGTCCCAGGGTCATGTTGGTGACCTTCTCACAAGGAAACTCAATGGGAGGGCTTAGATTCACTTAATAACTGGGTTACCAATTTAACAACTGTGGCAAGAAAGGTTGTAAAATGGGACAAAACTCACTTAATAAATTTCTCACTTAGCAACAGAAATGTTGAGCTCAATTGTGGTTATAAATCAAGGACTACCTCTACAGCAGACAGGAGTTCCATCGAATTTCATAATGTTAACCTGCTTATGGGAAAAGTAATTTCAAGAGTAAAGATGCTTTACTGTTGAGAACAATCAACCATGGAACAGCTTGCCCTCAGAAGTTGTGGGAAATGTCACTTGAGACTTTCAAGAAGAGATTGGACTGCCAGAAATGGTGTAGGGTCTCCTGCTTCGGCCTACAAGGTCCCTTCCAACTCTGATTATCTGTTATCTGAGGCAGCTAGGAATCGGTATGATTAAAATGGCAAGTGGAGGTTGTCCACAAGATTAGAAAAAGACCTTGTCAAAATAAACGTTGAAATGGCGTAAGGCTTTTCCACAACTCAAAATGTGGGATTGTAACTTGCTCTTCAACATTAGAAATATCCAGATGGGCATATACTTGACATTGTGTCGACAGCTAGATCCAGTTTTGACTTGAGTGGTGAATAAGCATGGTGAAATAAACACATTATGTTGTGGGCTCTTCTGTGGTTTCGTCATTTTTGTGAGGGTGATTGAAGTCCCTTTTTGGGTAGAGGGGTTTGCTGGTTGTCGCTCAGTTTGTGTCGTTTGTTTTGTTTTATTTTTATTACAGTTTTATTGCTCTGTATTCCTTGCTGCCCAGGGCGCAAGGAAAAAGGAGGTATAAACATTTGATAATAAAATAAAAACAAATCATTTTACATCTATAAAGTAGAAATATAGTGTCCTGAAAGTAACTAGTGTGATGTGAAACTGCAATTAAAAAAACCAGTATAGTCTTGGACTGTCTAAGAAAATATTACAACTACATAGATCATGGCATGTAGTAATATTTAGTTTGTGATACTTAGCCTTCCAATAGAGGAGAATATATATAGCTTAGCTGACCAACTGTAATTTCTCCATGTATAGGATAGCTATGCAAATCCAAATAGGTAAAAAAAAATTGCATGCAAAGTAAGTACAAAGATTTTGGATTTAACTATTGTTTCTTTTTCTAAAATTGTATATACTTTGTTATATTCCCCAGGTTGACAAAAATGCAGAATTAGTAGCCCAATGGTACTATTGCACTCTAAGTCAAGAAAAGTTAAGCAGACCTATAGTAGCTTGTGAACTTGGCAGGTAAGATTACACTTTAAATTATTTTTCAGACAAAGTGTCACATGTTTTTAATAAGTTTAAGAAAGTTAGCCTATTTTTCACAATATATTTTCTGCTACAGGCTTTACAACAAAGATGCAGTCATTGAATTTTTGCTGGATAAATCTTCTGATAAAGTCCTTCTGGAGGCTGCATCCCATATCAAGAGTATTAAGGTATGTTAACAACGTTAAAATACATGATAATGATTATAGTACACAAGTTAAACAGAGAGTCACAAAATTTATCTTTATTTTCTTGACATAAACTTCCTCGATATTAATGAAACTTTGAAGCATTGTATTTATGCAGTATGTTTTTTTAAAAAAACCTGGGGATATGTGAGATGCATTTTCTTCTAAAAGCAAACACCAACGTGTTTTTCTTTTTTGCTTCTGTAACATAAATATATGCTGTTAGACTGCTTCTTTTTACCTATACTGCCTCCTTGTTGCTTCTTTTGCTTAAATGCTTATCATAATTCTCCCTATCAAGACTGCTTTTTCTCCTTCCCTCATGGTTTTTTCCAGAATCAGACCCTTTTAAACATAAAGGTCCATTGGTGTCGTATAAGAAAAATGATTTTATCACCAGAAACTTTCTGCCTCCCACAGATATTGTCTTAAACTTCAAACTTGGTCTGAAATCAGAAACAATTCTATTATCCCTTTCTTAACTCACTGAAAGACAAGGTGATACTAAAAGCTGTACTATTATTATTCTCATCCTTCCTATTAAATATCTGCTACTTATGACTATAACCTTGTTCCTTGTATCTTACGATTTATATTGTTCTATTTAGTTTCCTAGTATGATTTTGATTGATTATTTAGGATCCTATGACTATCACAAAGTGTTGTATCTTATGATTAATGATGAATGTATTTATGATGGCTATATAGGTAAAACTCAAAAAATTAGAATATTGTGCAAAAGTTCATTTATTTCAGTAATGCAACTTAAAAGGTGAAACTAATATATGAGATAGACTCATTACTTGCAAAGCAAGATAGTTCAAGCTTTGATGTGTTATAATTGAGATGATTATGGCTTACAGCTCATGAAAACTTTTGCATGATATTCTAACTTTTTGAGTTTCACCTGTATATTCATGATTCATCACTTACATCTTTTATGTACACTGGGAACTTATGCACAGAAGACAAATTCCTTGTGTGTCCAATCACACTTGGCCAATAAAGAATTCTATTCTATTCTATCCCTATTCCTATCCCATTTCTATTCTATTCTGCTCCTAACATCAGTGAAGCATAGCACATCATCAGGAATATAGAATGCTTTCTATGAAGTTTGATGTTGCCAGAAACTTCCTGCTTGCATCTACACCCTATGACCAAACATATTTCCTTCTAGAATATTTGAATTTTTCATACACTACTGTTGTCTTCCAATTTAGGTGATGCTTCCTTTATCATAGTGTCAAATCAAGTTACATAAAGTATGGTTCATTTCTTGCAGAATGTCATGGAATTGAATCTCTCAGACAATCCAGCTTGGACTGGTGACAAGGGTAATACAAAAGGAGATAAATATGCTGACATCCAAAGTGCACGTTTTATTTGCCCTGTAGTTGGATTGGAAATGAATGGAAGGCATCGGTAAGTGTTTCCATTTTAATTAGGTTATAAATAATATGCTTTGCTGCCTTTTTTTAAGTGTGGCCATTTTCATAAAAAGATTGCTTGTTCTGTTTCCGAACTATGAAAATAGAAGATATAAAATGTTATTGAATGCTAACATTATAAAAACTGTTCAATCGAAGTAATATGTACAATGCAAACAATTATAATTATATGTGACTCCAAGTTTGATGAGGTAGTAATAAATAGCTCAGTGAAAATAATATCCCTGTGAAAAACAATATTCCATGTCAGATACCATTAGGAAAAACAAAGAATAAAACTGTTAATATGAAATTACTTATGTATAAATCTTTGGTAAAATTTGTTTGAATGATGCATGGAATCATGACTAAAAGAGACAAACAAACAACCAAACTCAGAAAGGCACCAAGGACTCTCTACACCAGGGGTCTCCAACCCTGGCATCTTTAAGACTGGTGGACTTCAACTCTCAGAATTCCTCAGCCAGCTTTGCTGGCAGACCCCTGGTCTGCTGGCTGGAGAATTCTGGGAGTTGAAGTCCACCAGTCTTAAAGGTGCCAAGGTTGGAGACCCCTGCTCTATACAGTGGCGTGATTTGAGAGGGACACAATTGCTTCTCCATCTCTGTTTCAATCCAGAAAACATCCATCATGATATTTTCAAACAATAATTGAACATTCTAATTCTGTCAGGTAAAGATTCCTCTGATGTATACAACAACAAAAAATGTCAGTGATTGCACTAAATAGCCAATTGTTCGCTTGCTTGCAGTCTTGATAAAATATGAGAGAGGCAAGGTACTGCAATTGTTGCCAAGGATGATTGATTCCATTGCAGGTACAGGATTCAAGCCAGTGCTCAGATATTCAGATACTGCCTACTACTTACTGCTGCTGTTTAGCAACATCCAGTCACTCTTTATTTGGAACACCAAGGCCAGTGTATCTTGATTGTTGCCATCACCAAGCAGTAAGTAACAGCTGCTGTCATCAGTGCCAGTGGAACATTTGCTTCACCATTGCCCTAGGTCCTAGCAGCTGATCCAGGCAAACATGCTATCACTCAACATCATTTGATGCCACCAAATAACGGACCTCATACTATGGTCAGTCATATCTGTCTCTAACATACCAAGGTTTCTTATTCCTGGTCCATTTTAAAGGTTATCAGAAGCACCTGGAAGTTTGCTCCTCACAATGCTGTTCTTTAACTATTTGGCTCGACTCCAGTTCAATAAGCAGGTGGCAGTCATAGCTAGGAAAGCCTTTGTACAGTTCCTTCTTCTGTGCCATTCCTGGATTGGCAGACTCTGTTTACAGTCACTCACGCCTTAGTCACCTCCAGATTGGACTACATTTACTTCATGGGGTTGCCTTGGAGACTAACCCAAGGGTTCAGCTAGTACAAAATGCAGCACCATGGCAATTGCGTGCACTCTTACAACTGAGCACATTACACTGCTGCTGCAAGAGCTACGTTGGTTGCCAGTTTGCTTTCAGGTCCAGCTAAGGTGCTGGTTTTGACTTTTAAAGTTCTTCATGGCAGGGACCACCTCTCCAATTATTTCAGCCCGCTCCATTAGATCTGGCAGAAGAGGCATGCTGTGTGTACGATCAAGTAAGAGCCTACATTTGGGAGGATCTCAGGGGACATGTCTTCTCTTGTGACCGCCTTATGGAACAGGAAATGGGAGATATGCTCAGATGACTCAATTACTGAAGTGGCTATTTTTATCCGCTTTTCATATAGGGGATTGTATATTTGTTTTTTACACTATTTATTAATGAGATAATTTTTTAATCTTAGATGTTTATATTTTTTAATATTTGTTTTGATATTTGTGATTTTTATCCAATTGTGCGCCACCCAGAGTTGTTTTTGGTGAGGTGGATGGCTATATGAATTTGATTAATAAATAATATTCTGGATGCTCTGCACATTCAAGCTTTCATCACTACTGCTGACAAAGTCCTTAATAGCTTAATAGCACAACAGGTCCAATGGTAGCAGAAGATCTTCCTATCCTTCTCAGCCATCACCTTCATCTGTTGGCATATTTATGCATCTGAACTATGGTGCCTGGAACAAACCATTATCTAGCCTCAACACTGTCACTCATAATATCTTGCACATCTTCTCTACATCGCAAGAGATTTAGATGTTCATCTATGAGATGGTTCACATGTGAGGTCTTGGGGGGTGAGATTACTATGGTTCACCACATGGTCATCCAGATGTTCAAACTGGACTTGGCATTTTTATCCACCTGTCGAGTCCTTCCCAAAGACCTGGGATAGACAAGTGGATATTTGACGGTGTTACAGATACCATTGTAGGATGTAAGCTGTTCCGAGTAAGGCTGCCTTTTGCAATTGACGGGTGGTGAATTTGTCAGTGCTGATGGTGTTCATGTGATGCTCCAGTTGTTTTGATACTGCACCCAAGGGGCCCAGTGGGATTGGTACCGTCTTTGCTTTCTTTTGCCATAGTTATTGTATTTGTTCTTCTTCATCTTATTAAATTTATTTGCCAGCTATCTCACTATGGGGCTTTTCTAGGCAGCTTACAACAGTAACAAACAAGGGCATAAAAAGGAAGGTTAAGCAAAGTGAAAGTAAAATAATAGAACAATAAAATAAAAAGACAACAAAGAAAATATATCAATATGACTAATAAAAAAGGTGGGCAAGTGGGGAGCAGGAAGGGAGGTGGAATTTGTGGTCTATCTAGCACCACCTCCACAGTAGAACTCCCCCATTGGGACTTCAGGCCAACCAGCAGATTATTGAAATCTGACAAGACTTCATGAATGTTAAAAAGTCCAATTATATTACATTATTTGCTCTTCTGTGATGGCTTCTGGCCATTTTTTCCCCATTCATGCTATACAAAATTATTTGGCTAAGAAACCTTTGATGATATTGAGCAAATGAGGGAAAAGTTCTTTTTAAAAAACACCCATATTCAGACAGAACTCAGCTGAATATTTAGTCCTAAAATGTTTTTATATGTTAAATCCATACTTGTTTCCTAACCAATGTGATTAAAATCGCATCTTAAATTAGATGGAGCTAATGCAGGGGTGGGCAAACTTTTTGGCTCAGGGGCCGCATTGACTTTTAAAATTTGACAGACGGGCCGGGTCAGCACAAGATTTTTTGGGAATCGCCCCCCCTTCCCCCCCTCTTCTCCTCCTTCCCCCTGAGTCAGGAGTTGCTACCGCCGGCGCGGCTCCGTGTGGCTCCAGTCCCGTGTTGCCTCGGGAAGGGAAAGGCAAAAAGGAAGAGCCGCGGCGGTGCTTTGCAACGGGAGCAGCGGCACCGGAGGCTCAGGCTCAGTGGCTCCTGGTTTTGCCTTTTCCTTCCCAAGGCAATGCGGGACTGGAGCCGCGCGGAGCTGCGCCGGCGGTAGCAACTCCTGACAGCCCCAGCCAGACACCTGAGCGGAGCCTGGGCGGAACTGCCTGTTGCTGCTGCTGGAGCACTGCCGGGTCGCCTCCTCCAAGCAGCCCGCCTGCCCGCCAGGCTTCCCCTCTGCCATGCAGCTCGGGGCCAGGCGCGAGCGCCCGCGAGTTAAAAGGAAGCCGAAAGTTGCTGGGAAGTTGCTCGGGTGCTGGGAGCAGGCTTCTAAAGTGCCGCCCGAGCAAAGTTTAAGCAGCCCGCCCTCGCGCCTGGCGGAGAGGAAGCCCAGAGCCTCCTCCAAGCAGCCCGCCTGCCGGGCTTCCCCTCTGTCGCGCCGCTTGGGGCCAGGCGCGAGCACCCGCGAGGAAAAAGGAAGCCGCAAGTTGCTGGGAAGTTGCTCGGGTTTCCGGGGCTTCCAGGCTTAAACTTTGCACAGGCAAAGTTTGCAGGCGGGAGCGTCTTCCCGCCGAGGAGCGGGAAGGGTTCCGCCCGGCGGGCGGGCAGGCTGCTTGGAGAAGGTGACCCGGCAGCGGTCTGGGTTTCCCCTCCGCCGCGCAGCTCAGGGCCAGGCGCGAGCGCCCACGAGGAAAAAGGAAGCCAAAAGTTTCTGGGAAGTTGCTCGGGTGCTGGGAGCAGGCTTTTAAAGTGCCGCCCGAGCAAAGTTTAAGCAGCCCGCCCGCCGGGCGGAACCCTTCCCGCTCCTCGGCGGGAAGACGCTCCAGCCTGCAAACTTTGCCTTTGCAAAGTTTAAGCCTGGAAGCCCCGGAAAAAAAAGGGGGATTGGTGGGGACTCACCTTCGGAGAGGTTGCACTCGAAGGTGATTTCGAACTCCCAGCCGAGGCCTTTGCAAAGTTCTTTTCTTTCCTACCCCGAGAGCGCTCCGTACTGTTTTGCAGCTTTGGGGGCCACGCAGCACAGGGCAATACGCCACGCCCATCGATTTTTTTTCAGGGGCGGGCCGGATTGGACAGACCAACGGGCCAGATGTGGCCCGCGGGCCATAGTTTGCCCACCCCTGAGCTAATGGGTTTGTTCATGCTCTTATTTAGCATGTGATTTTTTAAAATAGTTTTGAACAGGTTAGAATTATTTGTGCTGTGATTGGAGGGTTGGAGAAGCAGCACATCAGCCAGTCTGAAACCCACATACAAGCACATTTACTCAGGCAGATTTATTACTCAGTATGTCACAGCAATGAAGACCATATTTGCAGTATCCCGTGACAGGAGTTTCAAGTTTTTATTGGATTATTTTTTAATTAAGAATTTATATTAAAAAAACATTTTTGGAACTGCTAGTGAAGGAACAAAACTCTATTCAAACTGGAAAATTGGCTGTACTTGAGTGAACTCTCTTCTTCTATTCATCTTTTGTCTTTAGTCTCTTTTGAACTCCCTGGAGCGTTGTTTTTTTAAAAAAACTCTGTAATGTAACATCAAATGGCTTCCAGGCAAATGCAAGTAATTTATTATCAATAGTATAAATTATGAAATTGATTATCCACAGTCATACAGTTGTGTGTTAAAATGAAAAAGTAATGTAGATACAAAACAGAAACTCCAAACAAGACAGAAAATACACACTGAAGGTGATCTTACATTTCCCCCCCCTTCCTGCATCTTTTCTGTTTTCACAAACCTAAGAAACTGCCAGATTCCCAATTTCTTTTGAATACACTGTTTCAGAAATAAAAATGTGCGGCAGTAAGTACAATTCTCACTGGTTTTACTGTTAGATCCTGGAAAATTCTTGGTTCTCCCTTATTTCATTCAGATCCTTGTTAACCCCACTTTTCCCTTCAACATAAGCCAAGGATAACATATGATTATGCAGTCATTAGTATTTACCGTAGGATGTTTACAGCAGCCTTGAAACTTGTTGCATTACAATTAGCTCTCAATATATTCAATAGGATATTTTTTTTTGAAAATACATATGCATTGATTACCAAAATTCTTACTTTTGTATTATTGAAGAAGTCAAACTTAATGATGAATGCTTGTGAATCTCATCCAAGGATGACTTACAGTTTTAGGTCTGAAATGTTGATCTATCTATATCCCAATATTTTAACAATTGGCGAAGAAAATGTTAAAACTAAGAAACATCCATGTTGATGGAAATATTAGTTTATTAGTTTACTGAAATGTAATAGCAAATATTATAGTCTTGCAATGTTTTTTTCTTAAAATGTTCATATTACCACATATTCAATGTTAACTACACAGGTGTTCCAGGAAATAAAGAATGATCAATTGGCAGTTTTGCCACAAACATATAAAATACTATTTTGCTGAAGACAAATGGAAAGTAGAAGTTCCCGAGCTGATCATGCATCAAAAGCCATATATTTCAAAAACAATTAGTTGATTAAGCTAGTTGAAAATATTTTTTAAAATAGTGCTGTGTATTTGATTTCCCAGAAACTTTATCTGGTAAGAATATTAGCATTACTTACATTATGTCTGCACCAAGTTAAAATCTCAAATGGAGCGTGGGAGTAATATTCCCTTGTTTTGTCTTTTCAGTAAGCTCTGGAAATTTTTTTTGCTGCAACAGGATGCGACTTCCCTGCTCCATCTGCAAATTGTTGCTAGCCAGAAAATCTGGCCTTGCAAAGACATTTAATTCCTAACGAGTGTGCAAACAGTGCAACTAGGATATCTTTGAAACGAATAGTATATTGATTACAGCAGGATCCTATATATGGTTTCACAGAAATAAGTATACATGAATTCTGTAGGTCTCATTACTAGCTTAAAATATATAGATAGTCCTCGACTTACAACGGTTCATTTAATGACCATTCAAAATTACAACGGGACTGAAAAAATGTACTTATGAACTTCCCCACGGTCACGTGATCAAAATTCAGATGCTTGGCAACTGACTCAGGGCGGTTGCCATGTCTCAGGGTCAAGTGATTGCCTTTTGCAACCTTCTGACAAGCAAAGTCAATGGGGAAGCCAGATTGACTTAACAGCCGTGTTGCTAACTTAACAGCTGCAGTGATTCACTAAACAACTGGCAAGCAAGGTTGTAAAATGGAGCAAAACTCACTTTTAACAAATGTCTTGCTTATGAACAGAAATTTTGGACTCAATTATGGTCATAAGTCAAGGACGATCTATATAGGATTGCTGTTCTAATCAGAGTTGCTTTAGCTGGACCAAGAGCTATGTGTTCAGTTTACTTAAATCTCTTTTCCTTTGTTTTTTCTCAGCTTTTGCTTCCTACGTAACTGTGGGTGTGTATTTTCTGAACGTGCTCTCAAGGAAATTAAAACGGAAACTTGTCACAAGGTACGTTACCTCCTTGCCCTGACCCCAATTGCACTCTCTCTCTCTCTCTCTCTCTCTCACACACACACACACACACACACATTCTTCTAGGATAACTTTGTCCTGCATTCCTTTATCTTAAATCCTGTGGATTTTAATAAGGCTCTCAAAGTTATATTAGCTAACTAGATTGCAGTTGTGAATTAAGGAAATACTTATCCTCACCACCTTGCTTTGATTTTGGATGCATCTAGTTATTGAAAAAAGAATATTGGTTGTTTATTCAGTGGGAATCTTTGTTTTTTTTGTCTTGGCAGCCAATAAAAATTCATTCAAGCCAAAGCTTTTTACTTTTAGCCAAATTGACATCTGTCTCTAGAACTAGGATTTTGTTTTCTTGTTTTGTTTTTTTCAGTTTTGTTTATGCAGCCCTATTCTTTCAGGAACTCTGCTGACAAAATTACTCTGTTCTTCATTCTGAAGTTCTCAGAATTCCCCCAAATCCAGTTTTTTTTTTTTGGTAATATGAATGGTTGCTATAGATCTAGTGCCACTTTGATTCCACAGGTCTTTGAAGTTTTAGTTCTTTCGTGTTTCAGGAAATGTCCAGGTAAGCAGGCAGGAGGACTCAAATGAAAGGTTAGCCTTAAATCATTGTGCAACCACAAGAGGTCCAGGACTAACCACTCCCATCTCCAGCTCCAAAGAGTCTTTATCAGTTTATTCCTAAGAAAAAGCAAGCAGACTGGAGATATTTCTGTGTAACAGACATATAGTGAAGTAGTTTAGTTTAGTTTAGTTTACTTTATTGTCATTGCACCTCGTACAATGAAATCAAATACCATCTTCAGTGTACATTATGACTGAAAATAAACACAAACACACATCCTTCACATTCTATACATTGAATTGAAAACCCCTGATATTGCATTAAAATTGCAGTATACAGTAGAATTCTATAGAGTTACTGACCTGGGATAGAAGCTGTTTTTCAGCCTATTTGTCCTTGTTTTTATTATCCTGTACCATCTGCCAGATGGTAATAGTTCAAAAAAAGGGTGCCGGAATGAGAGGGATCTTTGAGAATGTTTTGAACTATTGAAGTATCAGCTTAAACTTTGCATGTGTGGATCTGGTTGCTTGCACCTGACAATAAAGTCTATGCTGTAAACCACTTTTGTATTCCATAACCAACCCACTAAATAACTTTGCAATATGGACATCTTTGGCTTTTCATGGTTCTAGTTATTCATAGTAACATAAATTCTGTGGTTGACCACATTTAAAATGAACAGAGCACCCAATAGTGTGGTTTCTAAATTTGTTTTCTTTTTACTACTGCAACAAATGCAGGGTTTTGACATGGTTGCTTTAGCTATAGCAGTTCTCATCTTTATTTCTCCTGATCCTTCACAAAACAAGTTTAAACATCCTTGCAGTTGAACTCTTCGCTGAGGCCATTTGATTGGTAGATGATTGAGAGAAAGAAATCAAAGTGACAGACATTGTTGTATTAATTACTGTATTATCATCTTAAAATATTTCTTGGAAATAGAGATTATGAGTGTTCTTTGTATCATTAATTGCATTTGCAGTGATCATTTTGTGTGTTGCAGAAGGTTGACTTTCTTTTCAAATTCTGATCAATGCCTACATTTTAAAAGAAAATTAGATCTGAAAGAAGAGAGTGGCTTGTCAGACATCAATATCCAGACTCAAATTCTAGTGAAAGAATTGCTAAAAATAAATGTGTATAGAGTATATATGTATAAAATTACCGAGCTCTGCAATTTCTTTAGTTTCCTCTTATGCAATGTTATCAGTCTAGTGCTTCCCTGCCCTTGATTAAGTAATTTAGAGAGGGCTTTTTTCAATATTCTGTTATCCTGAGATGAGGCAAATAGCTAAAATAGAAAGGCTTTCCATGAAACTGTGGCTTTCCCTTTTGAGATTTGTTCTAATACATGAGTAGACAGCTTCTTCATAGTAAGGCCATGCTTTGGTGGGCATGCTGATGGACATGTCTTGTAGAGCTTTTGGACAGTTGTTTTCCCTGGGGAAAAAACGAGAAGGAAGACAGTGATGGATGCATGGCTAGATGCAATACTTAATAGGAACAGCTGACCCTGCAGCAAAGGGATGTAGCACTCCTGTAACTTTGACACTTTGTGTGACATAACAAAGTACCAAATTGGTACTTCAAAAGTGAGTAAAGGCAGGTTTGGTGTTGTTTTGTTGGGGTATTGTAGGGATGAAATGCTCACATTAAGCATTTCCCTAGCCTTTGGCACTCATTTTCCACCGTAACTGAAAAAGAGAAAAAGACTGAAAACATCAGACTTACACATTCTGCAGAAGAAACTCTTGGAGCCATCAAAAGGATGTTGTCAAGCTATAAATAGCCCTAGGCTATATTTTTGCACCTTCACTGTAGCATTTGGATACACATCATTCTTGTACTGTATGTTGATGATTGCAGATACAGAGTAAGTATAGTGTACCAATAAAGGAGGATGTTTATAGCTCAGGGTTGAAAGGAGGAGTCCTTGGTGCTCTCTGAGCTTGTTTGTTTTCTTGCAGACCTTTCATTACCCTAACTAGATAACATCATCAGTGCTAGTAAGTAGTACTGTTTGCTGTCAGTTTACATTCTGGTGACTTGCCTGTCTGTGTGGGTGGGGATCGGTCTTGGAGATTCTTTGGTTGGCCTATTTACTGATGGCTCTTTGGCAGTTTCTTGATTGGAGTATTTCTTACTTGATTGTTGGTCTGAAGTTGATCTTAAAGTTAATCTGTATATTGTACATATGGAGTAAAGGCAAATATTTTCTCTCTCTGTTCTTTCCCCATTCCCCCCACAATTATCTTGGTGCCCTAATAACAAGCTCCCTTGAACCATTGAAAGAACCTTATCTTTAATCACTTGCCTTGGATTTATGCAAGGGGGTATGTGCAGAAGGGATGGTCTGCTCAAGCTTGTTACTATCCTGTTTGGAAGAGAAAAGGTTTAACAAATTATTTGATTGCGTCTCCCGCGGGGTAGAAAAAAAAGATTAAATATAGTGTGTGTGGTTGCTGTTTTAGATTAGGGTTGCTGGGGAGGGACCAAATTTGAAACATCTGGATATTGGTAGAACTCTTTGTTTTTAGTACTAGTATTTCTGAATTTTTACAGCTTGTGTTACCTTTGATTTCTTAATCAACCGATTGTCGATCCCAGTCGAAACTTCATTTCAGAGAAGAAATATTGTGACAGAGAAACTTTATTAGGGCAATAGATTTTTTAAATTAAAAAGTTGATATCTATTTTATAGCCCTTGAGGCTCTCAACGCAGCTTACGAAACGATCTTGCATAAGAATTTATGAAATGTAATATAAAAACAACTATCAAGGACCCTGGAGGTGCAATGGTTAGTGTTGTGGCTCCGATTCCCGAGCCTGTGCTGTTAGAGGAAGGGGACTTGGAAGACGAGGAGGAGGAACTGGGAATGCCTTCCTCCCCAGGACCTTCCTCTCTGGCAATGCCTTTCTCCCTGATAATGCCTCAGGTTTCATCAGACAACCGAGAGGAACAGCCTGAGATTAATCAGGAGGAAGGCATATCGGAGCAGCCCCTGACAGGGAGTCAAGAGGATGAATGTTGGCTTGATCCTAAGCAGCGTCGTAGGGAGAAATGTGAGTGGGAGGGTCAGAGTATGAGCTGAGTCATTGAGCCACACCCCACAGGGGATAAAAGTGGGTGTGTTGTCGGCTGGAACTTTGTACGGGACAAAGTTTGATCAGACATGATATTCTTCCGATTAAAATCGGAATTCCGATTTTTTTGGAAATCCCCCCCCCTCTTCTCCTCCTTCCCCTCACCTCGGAGGCCCCCTGAGTCAGGAGTTTCTACCACCGGCGCGGCTCCAGTCCCGCGTTGCCTCGGGAAGGGAAAGGCAAAAAGGAAGAGCCGCAGCGGCGCTTTGCAACAGCAGCAGCGGCACCGGAGGCTCAGGCGCAGCAGCTCCCGGTTTTGCCTTTCCCTTCCCAAGGCAATGCGGGACTGGAGTCGCGCGGAGCCGCGCCGGCGGTAGCAACTCCTGACAGCCCCAGCCGGACACCTGAGCGGAGCCTGGGCGGTGCAAGCGGAAGCCGCTGAGCGGCAGGAAAAGGGAGCTGGGCAGCCACGGACCATCCGTCTCTCCGTGCAACACGCCACCGCCCGGCCCTGGCGAGGGAAAGCAGCGGGCGCTCCCCGGGCGGCGGCCTCGGCCCCGCCCCCAGGGAAGCGGCTGCCCAGCTCTGGAGCTGATCCACACGTGACCGGCTGGAAAGGAAGGGTGTGTAGCGTTGGTGTTGTGTGTGCAATTTCTTGGCTCATGGCGCGGGGTCTCTTTTGGCCGGCCCCGATTTTTTTTTCAGAGGGGAATATCATGCCTGTTTGATCTTACTTCAGGTTTTCTTTGTGAATGAGTTTTGTGGTCTGCCTTGTAATTTTCTGTAAGTAGCTTTTTACTTGTTATCAGTTCGGACTTAGAGCATGTTGGAATGCCAAGGACATTATCAGTTCCAAAGAATTAACTCTGTGAAGTCCAAGCCAGCCTGCCTGCCTGTGTTTGTATGAGTTTGTTCTCTTTCATCTTTTTGGAAAGAAGAAAGGTGAGACAGAACAGGTTAGTATGCAGTATTGCAGCTAACTCGGCCCACAGTCTGGAGTTCGATGCTAATGGGGCTCGAGGTCGACTCAGCTTTCCATCCTTCTGAGGTTGGTAAAATGAGGACCCAGATTATTGGGGGGCGGGCGGCATTAAGCAAGTGCTATGGTCATTAAGCGTATCAATGGATTTTCTATAGTCTACTTTTGCTGAAAACCGGAAGTAAATGCCAGTTTTTGGCAAAATTCTAAAATGTAACATGGGATGTTGCAAATGCCCATAAATGTTAGCCAGGTGCTTAGCACCCAATGTGTGATCACATGACCACGGGGGGAAGAACTTTGGAATCAGGCTTTTAAGTATTCCCAGAGAGGTCCATCGTAACT